ACAGTCCCACCAATAGTGTTATGTGAATGCCAATCTAACCAACCCTTTCTGACTCTGAGTTCAATACTGCTACAGAGTCTTTTCAATTTGATTGTTTTCTTAAAGTAGTTTGGTTTTCATTTTCAGGTCATTGATAGTTTGCTATGGGATATTTATATTTTAGTGTCTGGAGATACCTATCTATTTATCTAAATATTTATCTAAGCCTTTGACCATTTTCCTTTTTATATGTTAATTTTATTTTTATTTATATGAACATAATGTGTATTAATGCTAGCAGATCTGGGCCAGTCGTATTTATTGTAAATGTAAATGACCCAGTTTGTTTTTGCCTTTTAAATTTGCTGATTTTTTTCTTTTTGGAGAGCATAGATTTGGTTATAAGCACTCTCTGATTTCTATTTATCCTGCTACTTGAAGCAGTTTTGTCCGTACACATGGCCCTGGCGACTCTCCATTCCACTGATGACTCACATCTTTAGGCGAGAGAACCCAGACAGACAGAGATTGTTGTCTTAAAGATGTATGTCTATATGGCTTTTAGCTAAAAAAGTAAAAAGAAAATCAATAAAAAGAAAGATTATACAGCCCACAAAAGACATTATATTAGATTGAACAAGAAGGGATAAAGACAGTACCAAATTAAGAGAAGCCTTTGGAGCTCCTAAATATATATACACACACATGCACACACACACACACATAATATCTATGTACATTGTATTGATTCTGTTTCTCTGGAGAACCCTGGCTCATACAGGGTGGGTATAACTTGGGTCATTACTTTATAGATCTTCAACTGAGAGGAACTATGTTCAAAGAGTCATGTCCAAGAAAGTACTCCTGAGGAGTCTCATCTGCTCTATACCTAATTAAGAGTATTTAGACTTTGAAACTAAGACTGATACTGTAATGAGAAAATACTTGCCAAGGGTCTTGGAAATGGTTGAATGCATTTTCCATGTGAAAAAAATGTGAATAATTTGGGCCAATGCATTATTTGACACTTATCCTGTTATAAGATAGATCTGCGTCATTTCCTTAAAGTTGGATGAATTTGTGATGTGCTTGTAACCAAAAGAAGGTGGCAGGAAGGAGATGAAGCTACCACTTTGCTTGCTAGAAGATCGTCACTGTAGCTCTGTGTCATCTTATAAAGAAGTTCGGCTGCACTGAGCTTCCTATGTTGTGAGGAATCTAGCCAATTAGTAAGGTCAGTGTGTGAGTGTTCTGGCCAACACCCCTAGCTGAGCTCCCAGCTTACTCTCAACTTTTGGGAATGTATAGTTTTTTTTATGTCTTCATATATCATTAACTATTGTGCAAATTTTAATATATAGTGCTGTATTTCAACTGTATTAAATGTTTTATTGTAATGTCCTCCATTTTTAATTTTTTCTTATTTGAGATTAAAGGCTGAGAAAAGTGATAAATTTGTCTACTAAAGTTGCATTTAAAAGTTTTGACTTATAATTTGATACTATATGACTTATAGCTTCATTATGGATTGTATATTTTTCAACATATTAACAACTTTATTGATAAAATGATTTTTCTCATTTAAAACATTTTTTATTTTAAAATGGTTTTAGACTTTCAGAAAACTTATAAAGGTAATACTCCTCACCTAGTTTCTCCTATTATTAACATCTTACAGTAACCAGATACATTTGTCATGGTAAGAAGCCAAAATTGGTATATTACTGTTAACTTAACTTCAGATTTTATTCAGACTTCACAAGCTTTTTTTTCAAATGTCCTTTTTTCTCTTCCATGGATCTCATTCAACATAAATTGTGCTCCCTTAATCTTCTCTAGTCTGTGACAGTTTTTCTCAGTCTTCTGTTGTTTTTCATGATCTTGACAGTTTTAAGAGATACTGATTAGTTTTTTGTAGACTGCCCCTCTAGCTGGGTGTGTCTGATGTTTTTCTCATAGTTAGACTGCAGCTGTGGGTTTCAGGGAAAAATATCACAGCAGCAAAGTGCCCTTTCGCATTACATTATATCAGAGGTATGTGTTATCAACATGATGTTAACCTTTGTCATCTAGCCAAGGTAGTTTTTTGCCAGCCTTCTCCACTGTAAAATTACTTCCCCCGCCACCCACCTTTCCATATTCTGTTATTTTGAAGTGATATAAGCTAGGGGGCAGGGGTGAAGATTAAGTTCCACCTCCTGGAGGCTGTATGCTTTCGTGCTTAATTATATTTAGAGATTTCCTTAATTTTATATTCGATGCCCACATTTTTGTCTGTCCATTTTTGTTGATTCTGTACCATTTATTTCAGCATACTGCCCTTTTGGTTGATCTTCGTTTACAGGCCAGTGTGTGACTCTTTGTTTTATCAGATTTCTGAGGACTTTATCTTGAATGGTTGATTTTAAAAGATGCTGCTTGCTTCCACCATGTTTATGGGAAATATAGTCTCTGACCTAGCAAGGCCTTACTCTGTAATGGTGGAAAATTCAGCTTTCTTCTCTTAAACATTTGAATTCACTGAATAGGCTCAGCCTTCTTTAAATATCACCTAAGTAAAAGGGAACAAGTTTAAACCCCTTGTGACTGGGCGAGTCACTTCTAACTAGGAATGTAACCTAAAAAGAAATGTCTTATTTTGTATCACCATAATCTTTTTGGTCCAAATTTTAATAGCTATCAATTATGTGTTTGGGATGATCCTGAATGCTTTATCGTGTTAGCATCTTATTTTATCTTCTCAGCATCCCAAGGGGTAAACCTTGTTCTTCCCATTTTGTACATGACAAACCAAAGCTCAATGAAAAGTTGTCACTTATAGAAAATGGTAGGAGTTTAAAGACAAATCCATTTGACGACTAAACCTGTTCCAGCTGATTCCAACCAAACCCTCCAAGTAGACAGCACATTTTTTTGGTTTCTCACTCCTTCCTGGAGCTTTCCAAAATATTACTGTGCATTTACTTCAGACTCAGAGTTAAATAGGCAATTGTAGCACCATCCTCCTCCTATTAATTAGTGCAAAAATTAGTAAGTGGAGTCTAATGCCAAGATGCATATCACACACAGACGCACAAAACAGGGCACATGTCACAGTGTGAAATTATTAAGAGGTAAGAAACCTTTTCTTGGATGAATTCAACTCAAAAAACAAATGCCCACCCCCCACCAAAACCACTGGATTAGCCCTTGCCATGTGGAGATCTTTGGGAAGATCCAAAGTCGAATTAAACAAAGTAATTGCACATAAGGAGCTCCCAGATTGTGATAAATAAACACAATTTAAACATGATTAAATTGGGGAAAAGCAGAACCTGAGACTATATCATGAAAGGATCACCGTCAGGAGGCTATATCTCTCTGGCATTTAACGCCATGCTCCTGAGTTAGTGACTCAGATGGAAGGTATGGCCTCAAGTGGCACATGGTTTGTTTAGCCAAGAAACGTCATTTGGAAAGACCTGACCAGTTTCCTATATCATTCAACTTCTCCCTAGCACAAAACAAGTCTTCTCCAATATAAAAATTAGTCTATTTACAAAAATGTTTGTAAATAGAATCATCACAAACATTTCTGAAAACTACTAAACATTAGCTTGACATGTTAAAGGATTTCTAGTATAATTGACTTAATGCTATCTACATAAGCGTGACTATAAATTTTTTCCCAACTGTGAGGAGCGAAGTATTATTTTTTTAAGTGAGCCTTTGATTTAAGATATAAAACATTTCAAGGAAACAGAGCATGTTCTTGTTAGTTTAGTGAGTGTTTTGTAGAGTACATGTTTATGCAGAAAAATGGAAACATAGCATATTGTTTTCCATAACTGGATATTAAGCATCCAAAGTATTTTTAAAACTTAGCCTCTATAATGTATATGAAGCTAAAATGTTATGTATTTTTTAAAATCACAGTTTCATGCCCAAGAAGAAATACTGCATGAATTTCATGCAGTAGAAGTATTGATGTGAAATATTGTACTTCAGATTTCAGTGGGATTGCCTTCAAATCTCAGATTTGTTCAAAAAGTAGATGCCCTGTGACACATTGTCGAATTTGGTAACATTGGATATGACGCCAAGTCTCCTACGTGCAGCCTCTGTCCCTGAGGACCATGTATGGGGAATCCTAGCAGACTCTGACAGTACTAAATTTTTTAAATCTTAGTGCAAAAACTTTTAAAAATGTGTACATTTGTGGATGCAGGGTAATGGCAAAGTACTATTTTGATTAAGGGGCATAATGTTAAACTTTGTCTTAAGTTTTTATTACATTTCAAATTGCAGCAAATCAAAAAAGATAAAACTTTATGAGACTGCAAGTATTTCTTGTAAGACACTTGCTTGTAAAAATTGTTCTCTGCCTTCATTTATTTTTGTTTTTATTTTAAAAGCTAAAGTCAAGGCAGGAAGAAGAAGGCAAGAAACCTCAAATCAAGGTAAACATTGTTATAGCAAAACACAGGATTGTGAAATTAACCAGATGGCATTTTCATGCAGGTCATACAAAGTGTCCCATATTCCCTTCCTCTCAGCAATACTTGCTTTACCTTTCTTTGGGATATTTTTTTATATAAATAGATACTATTAAAGAAAAATACTTCTGCATCATAGTTAAAATGCCAAAGGTTAAAGATAAGGAGAGAATCTTAAAAGCAACAAAAGAAAACAGTTACAAAATTATCCTGGTACAAGAGCAGGCCAGCCAGCCTAGAAGGGAGAGAATGGAAGGTCTCTTCAGCTGTCAGTCTGCTCCATGGTTCCATGCCTCTGGTTCTATTTTGCTCAGTTTATTTTGTTCATTAGATTCCACTTACAGGTGAGATCATGTGGCATTTGTCTTTCACTGCCTGGCTTATTTCACTTGGCATAATGCTCTTCAGATCCATCCATGCTGTCCCAAAAGGAGATACAACAGCAAAAATACCACTGTGTGAGACATATGAAATTTTACTGCCTATGTTTTCTTCTTGGTTGTTTACGGTATCATTATTTATATTAGAATCCTGCTTACCTGTGAAATGCAGTTAACACATCAGTTGGACCTATCTTCTGAATGCAGGGTGACCCTTCTGTTATTTAATGACTTAAAAAATGCCAGAGACTTGAGAAAAAAGGCCATGGAAGGTGCCATTGATGGTTCATTAATAAACCCTACTGTGATCATCGATCCATTTCAGATACTTGTTGCAGCAAACAAAGCAGTTTATCTCTACAAACTAGGGAAGATGAAGATGAGAACTCTTGCTAATGAAATTATTTTTAACCTGTCCCCAAATAACGATATTTCAGAGGCTTTGAAAAAATTTAGTATCTCAGTGAATGACTCTTCAATTCTAATTGTTGACATTGAAGATGGAGAAAAACAAATAGATCAAGAAAACCTAATATCTCAGGTAGAAGGTCATCAAGTTTCTCTGAAAAATCTTCCTGAAATAAAAAATATTACAGAAGTCAAAAAAGATATATAAACTATCTTCAAAAGAAGAAAGTATTGGGACATTGTTGAATAGTGTCATTTGTAGAATTTCAACAAAGATGTCTTGTGAAATTACAGAAATATTAAAAATGTTCAAATGTCTATTTGTAAAAAAAAAAAAGGAAAAGAAAAGAGAGAAGGCAGTTACCTACAAAGGAGTTCCCATAAGACTATGAGCTTATTTCTCAAAAGAAACTTTGAAGGCAAGAAGAGGCTGGCAAGAAGTATTCAAAATCATGAAAAGCAAGGGCCTACATCCAAGATTACTCTATCTAGCAAAGCTATCATTTATAATGAAGGGCAGATAAAGTGCTTCCCAGATAAGGTCAAGTTAAAGGAGTTCCTTATCACCAAGCCAACTTTATGTGAAATGTTAAAGGAACTTATCTAAGAAAAAAGGGACTTATCTAAGATAAATACTATGAACAGTACAATGACAACAAACTCACAACTATCAACAACTGAACTTAAAAAAAACTAAGCAAACAATTAGAACTGGAACAGAATCACAGAAATGATGATCATATGGAGAGTTATCAGTGGGGAAGGGGAAGGGAGAGAATGGAGGAAAAGGTACAGGGAATAAGACGTGTATTTGTAGGTACAAAAATAGGGAAAGTTAAGAATAGTGTAGGAAATGAAGAAGCCAAAGAACTTATATGTAGGAACCATGGACATGAACTAAGTGGGGGGATTGCTTTAGGGAATGGGGGTACCAGACAGAGGGGGGCAGATTGGGGCAAAGTAGATATAAAATGGGGCAACTATAATAGCATAACGAATTAAACATACAAAAAGAAAAGAAAATACTTTCCAAAATGTTTCTGTTTCAAATTTTGATAGAAACATGAAAGATATCCAGGCTCTACCTGAAGATTGTTTTCTATAACTGATACTACAAAAAACTGAAAAGAAAAATTTAAAAAGGGGCTTAAACTTGATGAGCTCTTGCATGTTTGGGTATATATCTGAGTTATCTAACCCCTTGATTTTCCATCTTATATGGAGTATTGTGAGATTTTTAGAAGATTCTCTGTTTCTGCTTACTTTCAGCTAAGTTGAAGATATTTTAAGATAAAACAAAAAAGATAGCCACTTGGCAGTTTTTGTGATAAAATGGTCAACAAATTATTTGTGTGTCAAAAGAAAACAAAATACTCCTATATGCCAGCATAAATTTTATGGAAGCTTTACAAATTATAAAGTATAATGATAATGACATAATAATTAAAACATGTGACCTAAGATGCTAGCACTGAGAAGAGTGACTAAAGTTAGACTACTTTGTTTGGTGTCTGCCTGTGTCTCTTTCTTTTGTGTCTTCACGCTCCTGCCACTTTGACCCTTAGTGACCACATATGGGCTTATGGAGGTAATTGTGGTAGCTTAGGAAGTCTTTCAGGAAGCTCAGCCCAGCAGTGGGTGGCCCTTAAAATGAAGTCATGTCACAGCAAGACATGATTAGTGTGCCAGGGGCGAGATGTATTCATAGATGAGTTTCTGAATTTCAACATTCTCTTCTATTCTAAGTCTCCTAAAAACCATGCTGCTATGTAAAATAAGGGCTTTAATATTGAGCCTGATTCAGACCACCTCTCTTTTCCAAAACTACATGCTGATTGAGGATTTACCCACTGACAAGCACATTGGTTTTTGTTTGGATGGATCAATCGGTATGCAATTGTCACCTGAGAGACAAGTCCAAAAACTTTTCACTGCTATGCCTCATTTATTGATTCATTCATTTGTGTATTAACTAATAAATTTATATATTTATTAAATAGCTTTGATAGAAAGTTTAAGATAGAATTACTAGGATTTAATAAATGATTGACTATAGAGAGAAAAACAAATGGAAGTCTTTACCAATTTTGGTTTTGTTAAAAAAATACTTTGCCAAGAAGATTTTTGCTATCTGGGATCCAGGTTATCAACTTCATACCCCTCTTTTTTTTGACTCCAGTAACAAAATTTGACCTAATAAAGGGGCTCCTCTGTCCTGGGACTATAATACTCTGTTTTTCCCACTCACTTCTTGTCTTCATGCTACCCGGGGAGGCTGCTTACACTGTGGCAAATTTGACCATAAACTTCTTTAAGAATGTTGGTTTTAAAATGAAGTTAAACTTATTTAAGGTATATAACCTTCTTTTTATTATTTAGTGTAAATGATTGCTTAAACTCCATACTCCAAATGCTACCCTTAAAAGATGTAATTGCATAAGCTAAATGTCTTTATGTATTTTATGAAACATAGCAAAATATTTAATAAGCAAATGGGATTTGATGTACATTTCTCACCCTCTGGAAAGCCTGTTTTTCTGTGACTACTATATGACTTTATTATTACACTTTATAACAGAAAGGAAATGCTTATTTTGCAGAATAATGACATAAAATGTGACAAAGAAATTACACTTTAAAGAAAAGCCAGCTACTTTCTAAAAGTTATGAAACCAAGAAAATAAAGACAGACTGTTATCAATGCATATTCTATATTTCTAAAATAAAGAAATCAAAGCAAACACTTTGTCAAACCAACAGTTTCTGTGGGAAGCATGTGACTGATTTCCCAGACAAATGATAAAGACTTGCTTTGACTTGATCTTATTTTTGCTGTTTCCCCCCCTACATGCGCAAACTCCATGTTTAAACTCATTGGCTCAAAGCGTGTCTTCGCTGAATTGGAGTAGACTTAATCCTGATGCACCTCCAGAGGAATGCTGCCAAAAAGAGAACACTGGTCAGTTGAAATGCAGTGCTCATCCTTTTTAGGTACAAGGAAAGTCGAAAATAAAGGTTCTTTGCTCCTCAGCTAGAAAACAATTTTAAAATACTTGAATAGAAATCAGATGTAAGGATGTGAGAAATGAACTTATCACTGATCACATCTATACTCACAGTCCCACTTAGTTATGAAAAACAGCTCACAAACAGACATCACAAAGAACAGAGAACCAAGTGCCAGGAGTCCACTGCATTGTGCATAGTTTTCCTGAAAACTTCCACAGTTGCTGCGTTCAATTTTGTTGTAAACTGAATCACCATAAGGTGCACTGTTGACATGCTTTTTTATATACTCACCTGAGGATATACTTATTGATTTTAGAGAGACAAGAAGTGGGGGGAGTGTGAAACATTGATGTGAGAGAGAAACATTAGTCAGGTGCCTCCCACGTGCACCCCAACCAGAGATCAAACCAGCAACCTGGGTTCGTGCTCTGACTGGGAAGGGAATTGAACCTGCAACATTTTGGTTTAAAGGACAATGCTGCAAACAACTGCTCCACCCTGCTGCGGCTGATATGCTTCCTGCTGTGCATTTGATAAGGGAGATAAAATAAAGCTTAAAAAAAGAAGGAAAAAAAACCACACTGGTGATTCTGTGCTTCCTTCACATAAAGATCTATTTTAAAGAGATTATTACAACATTCTTTATCCCCCATTTATCTTTGAAGAATGTAGGAATGGTAAATATTATCATCTTGATTACAAACTTGGAAACAAGTATAAAGTGTAAAGTGGTTGTTTTCTTGACTTTGTTATGTCAGCGAAGACATTATCTTTTCATAGTGGTCTGTTCAAAGTCTAAACCCTTTTTATAAGATGTTGGGAAATGAAGTAAAACTATTTTAAAAGCCCTGTTCTAATTTTCTCTAAATCTTCTCCAATTTCTTTCTGAAAACATTAGAAGGTATTAAAACATGAAGAGTTGCCCTTAAGGAGTAAACGTGATTTTATAAATGTAGTTAGTTATTAGGCACCCCATGTGCTTGAGTTATACACACGTTGGTCAATGTCATCTCTTAACAATAAAAATTTCCAAATTTTCTAACTTCTCTATGTCTACAGAATAAGCAAGCACAGGCATCTGTTTAGAGCAAACATAAAGTCATTGGAAGGGGAAATGACAGTGACTCAGTACCCTGACATGGGACAGCATGGCTACCTTAGCCTTGCTACTAGATGTCTAGGACAACTGATCTCTCTCGGAACCTGAGGCTTTCTCGGGCTCATAGTTATATACAGGCAGTGGTCTCATCATGTGAAAAGCATTTGGCACATCACAAAATTATAATGTAACAGCAACTCATAACTCCTTGGGGCTGTGAACAAGCTGAAATAATGCACATAGATTAGTTTTTAAAATATTCAGTTTTTCATGGTTACAAACAAAAGTAATTGTGCATTCCCTTAAAAAGTTGTTCTTTTAATGTCATTGCAAGAAGCCTGTAATTCCTATTAATTGCTTTTCTCTAAACTGTCTTAAATATGCATTACTTTTTTAAAGGAAAAACAATTTCATATTTTTATAGCAATATTATTGCCTTCCACGTTTATTAATGATATTAGTATATTCAGTTACTTAAGAATATTACTTTCTAGTTTCTCAGTGAGTATCCTTTATTTTTTAAAAATATTGTTTCCTTGAAGAAATAAAATGAAAGAAAATATTTGAACAAAAAACAAGATAGCTGGCCTAATGGTCCTCCTTTCTTTCAATGACAATCTTCTTTCTTTGTAAGTAATCTGAAAATAAATAGTAAATATTTGGTCTCTCCCAGGATGATTTTGCTTGTGTATTTACTCAGTTATTTTTTTCCTCACCTGAGGACATGCTTACTGATGAGAGACAGAGAGACAGAGAAAGAGAAACATCAATGTGAGAGAGACAACATCAGTCAGTTGCCCTACCGGAAACTGAAACCAGGGCCCGACCCACCCTCCCCTGACCTAGGCATGTGACCTGACCAGGGACCGAACCTGCAACATTGGAGTTTATCAGATGACACTTGAACCAACTAAACCACACCAGCCAGGGTCTCAAGGATAATTTTGGAACATTCATAAATAGGAAAATGCTTTTTAAAATGCAGTAAACTTCTAAAAGTATAAATTTTAAAATACAGTCAGTGTTGAAATAACAGGGATGAAAGAGATAAGTCAAAGAGTAAAGTAATAAATAACAATTGTTGAAAAATCAGGAGAAAA